GAAAGGAGGAAGGAAGGAAGAGAAGGAAGGAAGAAAAGGAAGGAAAGAAGGAAAAAAGGAATGAAGGGAAAAGGACAGAGAAGGGAGGGAGGGAAGAAGGAAGGAAGTAGACAAAAGAAAGGAGGAAGGAAGGAAGAGAAGGAAGGAAGAAAAGGAAGGAAAGAAGGAAAAAAGGAATGAAGGGAAAAGGACAGAGAAGGGAGGGATGGAGGGAGAAAGAAGGGAGAGAAGGAAAATAGACAAAAGAAGGTAGGTAAGAAGGAAGGAACAAAGGAAGGAAGAGAAGAAAGAAAGGAAGAAAAGAAAGGAAGGATGGAAAGAAATAAGGAAAAGGGGAATGAAAGGAGCGAAAGGGACAGAGAAGGGAGGGAGGGAGGGAGAAAGAAGGGAGAGAAGGAAAATAGACAAAAGAAGGTAGGTAAGAAGGAAGGAACAAAGGAAGGAAGAGAAGAAAGAAAGGAAGAAAAGAAAGGAAGGATGGAAAGAAATAAGGAAAAGGGGAATGAAAGGAGCGAAAGGTAGGAAGGAACAAAGGAAGGAAGAGAAGAAAGAAAGGAAGAAAAGAAAGGAAGGATGGAAAGAAATAAGGAAAAGGGGAATGAAAGGAGCGAAAGGTAGGAAGGAACAAAGGAAGGAAGAGAAGAAAGAAAGGAAGAAAAGAAAGGAAGGATGGAAAGAAATAAGGAAAAGGGGAATGAAAGGAGCGAAAGGTAGGAAGGAACAAAGGAAGGAAGAGAAGAAAGAAAGGAAGAAAAGAAAGGAAGGATGGAAAGAAATAAGGAAAAGGGGAATGAAAGGAGCGAAAGGGACAGAGAAGGGAGGGAGGGAAGGACACTGAAGGAGGAAGGAAGTAGACAAAAGAAAGGAAGGAAGAGAAGGTAGGAAGAGAAGGAAGAGAAGGAAGGAAGGAAAGAAGGAAAAAAGGAATGAAGGGAAAGGGACAGAGAAGAGAGGGAGGGAGGGAAGGAAAATAGACAAAAGATAGGAAGGAAGGAACAAAGGAAGGAAGGAAGGAAGGAAAGAAAGAAAGAAAGAAAGAAAAAGAAAGAAAGAAAGAAAGAAAGAAAGAAGAAAGAAGAAAGAAAACCCTTGCTGGCTGGGGAATTCTGGGAGTTGAAGTCTACACATTGTCAAGTGAAGAAGGTTGAAGAGACACAGACTTCGCTGGCAAATGTTTCTGCAGCTTTGTGCTCTGACCAAGGGGAGAAAAGGGGGCAGGAATAGGCCCAGAAGTGGGGAGGGGGTTCCATCTGCATACGAACCAGCACCCCCAGATCACACTACGCCATTTATCGTGGCTCAGTCCTCGTCCCTGTCATTACGACGGAGGGCCCATTCTTCTACGAGGACCATAGGAAGCCCGGGAGGGGGGAGCGGGAACACGGGAGATCCAGGGGGTGGAGAGAAACTGGAACCCCCCTCCCCATTCTCTCTTCCTTCTTGCAGGAAGGAGAACGTGACCAGGAGAGCCTTCCACCCGACCTGGCTCCCCTTCCAGTCCACGGCCGTGAGGGAAGCCAAGTTGGGGTTCTCCTTGAGGCTGATGAGCGGTAAGGCAGCTGAGGAGAGGGGGTTGGGGTGGGGGGCTCTGGGAGTTGAAGCCCAGACCCCTAAAAGTCGCCGAGAGGGAGAGAACCCCACTTACTAGCACACGTCTCCCTTGGGCAACCAGGAGGACCATCTAAGGTGGACCTCAGATCTCCTGGAAGATGCTCGCAGTTGGGTTGACTTTTCCGCCAACTGACATCCCCTCCCCCAATTTTTGGCATCCTGGGTCAGGGTAACTGGTGGTGGGGTAGGTCTCCCACCAGCTGACCAGGTGCAGCTGGCTGGGGAGGGGGGTGCAACACGTGGAAGGCTCCCCTCAGTTCCTCGGCTCATCCGAGCTGCGGCTGAGCCCGCTGCCCTCGCCTGCCAACACCCTCTCCTCCCGCCGACGCCCTCGCCAGCATGCGAAGCTTGACGGCGGCTTTGGGAGATGCTGGCCAGTGGGGGGGGGCTAGGCTAGCGCCAATGCAGCCTACCTGTGCGTAGGCAGAAGGAGGGAGTTGCGTGGATGAAGAGGGCAAAGGTAAGGCAGGACAAGCATCTGAGTGAGCCAGTTCAGGGGCGTGGCCAGCCAGTTTTCACTAGCAGTATGGTGATCCACTCCCAGTTCTCTGAAACCGGTTCAAACTGGGGGCAACCCACCTCTGGATGAGTAAGTGGGTGGCCCAACCCACTGGAGCTTTGCGTCTTTCTTGGCACAGATGACTGGATGGCCGAAAGAGTCTCTGGCCGCTTCCTACTGGGTGAGCCCTTGCGCCTCCAGGCCGATGTCCAAGCGGAGAACCACCTGCCCCTGAGGCTCTGGGTGGACAGCTGCAGAGCCAGCATGAGCCCCATGCCAGCCTCCGGGCCCCAGTATGAGATTATGGGCGCCAGTGGGTAAGAGACGCACAGGGAAAAGGATGAATGAGACATGGAACGGCTGCTCGCCGGAGGCGATGGGTGCTGCTCCGTCATGGGAGGTTCTCCGGAACCATTTGCCCGGGAGGTCTCCTGCTTTGAGCAGGGGGTTGGACTAGAAGACCTCCAAGGTCCCTTCCGAGCCCTAGCAATCTATGGTCTCCCTTTCTCTCTCTTTTCTGTCAATCAATCAATTAATCAACCACTCTATCAGTTCTGTCCATCTGTCTGATCTATCCATCCATCCATCCATCCACCCAACAATCCAACATCCATCCATCAAACCAACCAACCAACCAACCAATCATCCATCCATCATCCATCCATCCATCCAACCATCCATCCATCCA